CTAGTACAACTGATAGTATGTAGGCCAACTGGTACAACTGATAGTATGTAGGCCAACCGGTACAACTAGTATAACAGTGGAAAATGGTGTATGTGTTGTTTTTGATTGTTGTAGTTTCAGGATAGTACCCTCTATAGTCAACTGGTACAACTGTTAGAGTATAGTCCAACTGTATAGGCCAACTGGTACAACTAGTATAACTGTGACAAATTGTGTTTGTAATTATGTTTTAAATTGTTGTAATTTCAGGAGGCGATGAAGAAGAAGAGCCATACTAACGTACATTTTGACTATGGAGGGTACTATTCAGAAGGGAATGAGTGGATTTATAAAAATTCACTATACGCTATATCGTTTAAGACGGCATGTTTAGAGAAGATAACTTATTCGGTGCTATTAGATAAGATCACTACGAAGGTTGGCCAGAATGGAGTCCCTGGGAATCTGAAACTGAGTTACAATCTATCTAAAGCTCGGAGAGAGACATATATTGTAGATGATGAGGACGTATACATTTTTTTAACAGAATGTGATGAAGAGGGTCGTATTCCAGTTTTGCATGTGGAGCTATTAAGTGACAATAACCAGAGGGTGGAAGTGTTAGTACCGGAGCGTCGAAGTTCAGTTGGTGTGAATTATGTAAAGCTAGTGAATGTGAATGAAGTTTTGGAGAATGATGTGAATGAAGTTTTGGAGAATGATGTGAATGAAGTTTTGGAGAATGATGTGAATGAAGTTTTGGAGAATGATGTGAATGAAGTTTTGGTGAATGATGTGAATGAAGTTTTGGTGAATGATGTGAATGAAGTTTTGGTGAATGATGTGAATGATGAGAATGAAGTTTTGGTGAATGATGTGAATGAAGTTTTGGTGAATGAAGATATGGTGAATGAAGTGTGTCAGAATGTGACAGGTATGGAAGTTGTGGCTGTGGAAAGGTCGATGGATAACCATTTGGATGAAGATGTGGATGGTATTTTTGATTTTGATGAAAGGTACTCCAAAGAATATAGAATGGGAAGATGGTACGGGTATAGAACTTTATCAAGAATTTTGTTCTAAGGAAGCACTGTGGGAATTGGTAAACAAAGCTGCAAAACAAGAAGTTTATGGGGTTTTAACAGTTAAGTCTGACCCGTTGAGACTTATGTTACGATGCAAACAATATTCTCAAGGGTGTAAATGGTATTTACGAGTTGCGAGAACAAAGCAATCAGATTATTGGAGTGTTAGAGTGCATAGAAAGATCCATACATGCTCGCGGTCTGTTGAGTCTACAAGCAATAGTGTACAGAGAGGAACACCACGATTAATAGCAGCTGTTTTACATGCTGACTTTCCAGGTAATCTACAGACCCCAAATCCAAAAAGCATCATGTCTATTGTGACAGGAAGACTTGGTGTGCATTGTTCATACTCTACTGCATTAAGAGGGAAAATGCAGCATGTTAGTGAAGTGAGAGGTGGACCAGAAAAAAGCTACAAGATGTTGTTTTCTTATCTCTACATGTTAGAGATGGTAAATAGAGGGACTGTAACAAGTGTGGAGTTGGAAGAGAAGAAGTTCAAGTACCTATTCATCGCTTTGGGAGCTAGCATTGAAGGTTTCAGGGGAATGAGGAAAGTGATAATTGTGGATGCAACTCATCTCAAAACTGTATATGGTGGGATGTTGGTTATTGCAACAGCTCAAAATCCTAATCATCACCATTATCCTCTTGCATTTGGTGTAATTGATGCAGAGAAGGATGTTAGTTGGATTTGGTTTTTCCAGAAGCTGAAAACTGTATATCCAGAAGTTCCTGATCTGGTGTTTATTAGTGACAGGTATCAAAGCATCAAGAAGGCTGTCATGACGGTGTACCCGAATGCGCATCATGTACACTGTATATGGCATTTGTCTCAAAATCTAAGACTCCGTGCGAAGACTGATAAGGATGGAGCTGCGAAGAAGTTCTTGGAGTGCGCTCATGCTTATACTGAGAGTGAGTTCAATAGAGAATATGGTATTTTTAGGAGTCGGTGGTCTAATGTTGCTGACTATCTAGATAAAGCCATAGAGAGAGAGAGAGCAGTGGTCTAGGTACCATTTCCAAGGAGACAAGTACAACATAGACACTAGCAATGCTGCGGAGTCCATGAACGCTGTGTTTAAGAAAGCGAGGAAGTATCACCTCTTACCTATGATTGATGCCATGGTTGAGAAGTTCTCTGAATGGTTTAACAACCATAGGCAAGATTCAGGTAATGCATCGAGCACATCACAGGTTGTGCCTTTTGTGGAGAACATCTTGCATGCTCGATGTCCAGTTGCTGCGAAGTTAAAAGTTGTTGAGCTTAACAGTTATAGACAAGAATACAACGTCATTGATGGGATGTCGGTCAGCTTTTTGGTGGATTTGAAAATGAAAACTTGTTCTTGCAAGACATTTGATATAGACAAGTACCCGTGTGTCCATGCCATTGCCGCAGCAAGGTTCCTAGCCCGCAAGGAAGGGAGAAATGCAGATGTAAGCATATATAGACTTTGCTCCGTCTTTTATTTGATTGATACTTGGGCATTGGCATATTACAGGACGTTGTTTGTAGTGCCACATGAGTCAGAATGGAATATTCCCGAGTCAGTTAAAGAGTTGGAGGCTGAGCCGCCGGATTACACTCCAAAAAAAGGACGCAATCAAGATAAACGGTTTCCATCTGTTGGAGAAAAACGGAGAAAGAGTAACAAAGCTGTTCCAGGAATTAACTTGGAGAGATGGCTACAGCCCGAGGATCCAGAAACATCTTGATTAATTCCCTGGTTCAACCGGTACAACTGCTTTACCAATACGGTTCAACTGGAACAACTGGACCATTTTGGTTCAACTGGAACAACTGTATAACCATTTGGGTTCAACCGGAATAACTTAAACAACTTTGTACTTGTATTTTTATTTGTAAGACTAATATCGCTTTGTAATATATGGATTATTATTTATAAGTTTGTAATATAAACTATTTTATTTCTTTACAATATTAGCAAGAATGGTTTCTGGGTTCAACCGATACAACTGGAAACAACTAAAACTACAAAAAAATACAAAATTACATAAATTAAACCATAATAAGTGATTAAAACATTTTTAAACTCTGAAGGTACATTTAATACTTTTAATATATGATATGTAACATTATCAATAATTAATATGAGCAAAAACCAAAATTACACAAATCACTCTTTAGGTAACAAGGAACAATTAGTTCAAGATCATCTATAAAGATGGAAGAAGTATGTAAACTATGTTTTCTGATAAATTATTCTATGAAAACTTCTTAAACACCAATATAATGTGGAAATTGATGTGAACAACTAGATATCTATGGTATTTTTTAAGGTTCAACTACAAAATTACAAATTTAGAAATAGTTCAACTGTGAGGAAATTAGGACAACTGAACATCTAAAGACAACTATGTAGAAAATCTATTTATCGGGGGTCCCACAGAAATGTGTTCACACTAGTCTTTGACTAGTTTTTGACTCAAACCGGTCCCACAGAAATGTGTTCACACCAGTCTTCTCATCTAATAAGGAGAGTACTCTCTCTCTCTCTCTCTCTCTCTCTCACATCTCGACTCCGATTCTTCTTCTTCTTCTTTTCTCTCTTCTTCTTCTCTCTTCTTCACGAGACCACTAAAAATTAGGGTTTTCAGATTTCTTCAAATTTTGCGAAATCTGGGTACTTCTCTCACATATCTTCTTCTCTCTTCTTCTTCTGTTATTGAAAACGAGAAACCCAAAAATTAGGGTTTTCAGATCTATGCTCCTTCTTCCTTCTCTCGCCGTTTAATAGATCTGCTTTCTACTAATTCGGATTTACTAAGATTTAATTGATTTATGTTTGATTGAATGGTCAGATCTACTCATCTTCTAAACCGTAGATATGCCTTATAGTTACTCCCAACCCTCCACATCCGTAGCAAGCATCAACAGTGGAGAATGTAATGCAGATGCCAATTATGGTGTTCCCGAGAGGTGTTTCTGTGGTGAGATGGTCAAACTTGAGCGATGTCTAACAGGACAGCGCCAAGGAGAGCGCGTATACAGATGCCCAGTGCTTAAGGTATGGTTTAGTTGCAATTCTGGAACAACTAAGTACAACTTGCTGGTTTTAACTTTTTATATTCTTCCTAGGATGGAGACGAATATAAGGATAATCGAGATCACCTAGTTCAGTGGTGGGATTGGGCGGTAACTGAGGAGCTGTCCAAGATACACCACCTATTTGACAGACATAAAGATGACGTGTTAACCTCTCTTGAATATGGGAGGGGTGGAAATCCTGCATTGGAGTCGATCCGGGAAACTCTTCGTCTTATGCGTGAAGAAATTGATGACCTTAAAGAGAGGTTAGCCACAAAAGAAGTCGAGATTGCGAGGCTTAGGGGGTTACTTTCAAGGTGGTAATATTGTATGATTACCACCTACTCTTTGTAATATTTGAATTTGTATTTTGGATATGGAATTGTGTTTTCATGAAGTATTATTAGTAGTTGTACCTGCAGTAATGGTAGTTGTACTTGGTTCAACCGGTACAACTCCGAGTTATATGTACTCACTAAGTATTTTTAATAGTTGTTGTCCCTGGATCAACTGGTCCAACTAAAATTTAAATATATTGTATTTAGTAGTTGTCCCTGGTTCAACTGGTCCAACTAAAATTTAAATATATTGTATTTAGTAGTTGTCCCTGGTTGTCCACATAGTTGTCTCTGGATTATTAGTAGTTGTCCTTGTATTGTTAGTAGTTGTCCCTGTTGTCCATCGTTCTTAATAATAGTTGTCCCTGTATTGTTAGTAGTTGTCCCTGTTGTCCCTGGTTCATCACATAGTTGTCCCAGGATTACTAGTAGTTGTTCCTGTTGTCCTACTTGTGTTAATAGTTGTCCCACGTTTGTTAGTAGTTGGACCAAATGCATAATTTCTTAAAATATAATTTCTGGATCATCCTAAACCCCAAATACAAAAAATGCACCTAAACCACAACACAACCAAAAGATAGTACAATGTTTTGAATCCTAATAAAAGATAACCGCAAAATACTCAGAAAATATAAGTTTTGTCCTACACAAAAGCAATTACTCATAAAGAGTGATCTCTCATAAAGATCACCTATTTCTTCTGCCGCTTCTTCCCCTTCCCCTTCCCCTCTGCTGTAAACTCTTCAGCCTGAAACCTGGAAGCCTTCCTTTGTCTCTTTTTCCCGGTCTGGATTGTAGGGCCACTATGCTTCGGCCTCACTGCTTTCTTCTTCTTGTTCTCCTTCTCTTTCCTAGCCAGCTGCTCCTGATCACCTTCATCACCTACACAACTCCAATGTTAGAACATGTATGTTACAATAAAAACTACAAAAATGTAAACTCACTCAATTCTTGAATCTGGATTGGCTTAGGGTCTGTGAAACCACTGTGAAGGACCAAAGCCTTTGTCGGACTCGCTATTGGTTGATTAGCAGTTGGTGTACAATAGGTTGGCACAAAATCACTTGAAGTCCCTGGATGATACTCATTGTACCGCTCTTTCTCTAGCTAGACTGACACATAACCCTCTAAGTCTTTCACTCTCCCATCCAGCATACTCACTTTGCTATCCATCTCAGACAACTTCTCCATGATCTTCGCAAATCCTTTGTCCACAGCTGACTGTAATGAGAGGATATCACCAAGCCTCTCAGGGACTTCACCATCACTTTCTTTAACATCACCAAGCCTCTCAGCCACTTCAGGGACAACATCACCAAAACCCCGAGCCTGCAAGTCCATCTGGTATAGACTTTTCCACCAGATTTTCTTCTTCTTTCTGATCAGCTGCTCTCTCCAACCTTCAACAACTGGATCAATAAATCCCATCCCTTCATCAACATCTTTCTCAACAAGGCCAGACAACATCTCTTTCTCATCCATATCAGGTTCCAAGATGCTTGAGATATCCTGTCAAATACACATAGCATCAATCTCAATAAATATGCATACTAAGAGAAGTAAAGGCACCAAAAGCTAACCTTAATTTCACTAAGGGCTTGGTTTATTTCATCCAAGGTAAAGCCCTTCATGCAACTATCAGTGAATTTAGATTTGCACATTCTTGGACAGTCATTAGCTGCGGGAACAGCTTCTCTGAATCGCCTTCCAAGCTGTGGTATGCACTCAAATGCAAAAATCTACACATTCACAATAACACAGTTTTACTACTATAACTTAAACACTCTAACTCATTACAATATTCACAAGTTTTTACCTCAAGAGGAGTGATGAATCCAAAAAAGCTGCTCTGTGCTTTTGGTTTCACCTCACCTTTCATGTTTTTCATCATTCTCCGGATCCCTGTCATACATTGCTCAAAAGAATACCTTCCCCACGGGAATATCTCACAAGCATGAACATCATCAACAATCCTTAACAGGAATTGCTCTATGTTCCCATCACCCTTAGAATCAGCCTTCACAACCGCACATAAAAACAACAAAATAATCAACTTCTTCCTATCCAAACACTTCTCACTCTTAATAGCTGCCAACTTCTTTTCTACATCTTTGATTTTGATTAGGTCTGTCCTCCCAAACATCCTCCTGACAAACCTCAAACTACCCTTCTTCTCATGATTCTTTGGGTACTCATGGCAGTCCAACCCGGTCAACAAAGCATGCTCTTTCAAGGAGTACCTTATAGGCACTCCATTCACAACAAACCAACACTCATTCTCCATACCCGTGCGAGCAGTGCGAAGCATAAGCATCCACATGCCTTGAATCATGTGATTTGGTTCCTTAGGCATGTGGAATATATGCTTAAACTGAGCATGATTCCTAAACCAACTAACTTCCTCATCAAATGCCTCTATCATGGCCACTGTTTGGCCAACTTTACACCTACTACCTACCTTACATACCTTGTTGTACTCAGTTGGACTAAAGTACATGCTCTCTGGCGGCAGTGGTTGGGATTCCTCATCATCATCATCCTCATCTGTATCAGCTGCAACATCATTAACCCTCTCCTCTTCCTCTTCCTCAACAGCAATATCATCAACTATATTCTGCATATTCAAACACATACAACTGAGTACAACTATGTCTGTTGCTTACCTTTAACACCATATACAACAAATACAAACTGTTACTTACCTTCACAACACCAGCAACATCTTCCTCCTCATTATCACCAGCAACATCTTCACCCTCAGAATCAACAACTCTCTCTTCTTCCTCGTTATCACAACCCTGACCATCAATTGACAACTCACGGACTTCTTTATCATGCTCACCGACTTCTTCTTTCTCTTCTTTATCAGACAATTCCGGAACCGAAAAAACTACTAATTCGGTGGCTGCTTCTGCGGATTCCACTGTGGACCAATTACAGCGGCATCCATTGGAGCTTCTGTTGGATAAGCGTCATCCGTCGGAGCATCTTTTGGAACTGCGGCGTCCGTCGAAGCTTCTGTTGGAACTGAAGCGTCCGTCGAAGCTTCTGTTGGATCCGGATTTGCAGCCCCTTCTCGAGACCCTTCTGTTGATTCATATACCCTGTTATCTCCACCTTTCACGCGAGCCATATAAGAACGAGACGAAGACACGCTGAACGGAGTCGGAGGAGACGAAAAGACAAACCACCGAGGAGGAGACGGAGGAGACGAATGATGGAGTACGAAGTTCCCACGCTAGAAGAAGACGGCGGAGACGACGATACTCCGGAGACAACGAAAACGGAAAAGAAGCGACGGAGATTCGCGAGAGTACAGAGAGAACTCGGAGACAGAGAGAAGAGTAGTGAAAGCGATTTTTACGGTTTTGAGTTTTACTTAGAGAAATTTTCAGAATTAGGGGATTAGGGTAAATTTGGGGATTTTGTATGGGTCGGGTTATTTTCTTATGGACTGGATTCGGATTGTTTGGTTGGGTCGTAATATACTTATTTTCGTCTGGGTTTTATGTAATTTACTCACTTTCTCTATTTAAAATTAATTCGATAATAAAAAGAAAACATAAGAGTGGCATAAGAGGTTACCGATTCTTGATTAGTGGCACAAGAGGTTAACTCTCCCCTAAACATCGGAGCTCTGTTTGCTTGGACTTTGCAGAGACTCTCAGAATCGTCTCTGTTCTCTCATTAGTTTAAGTATGAGGCTTTGCTCCCGGAAGTGCCAATGGTCTCGCCGTCGTCACTTTCCGGTAGAAGCGAAGCCAATGAACTCAAACTACCTGATCAATCGAGTCACATACGCGCGATGATGATCCGCTTGAGCGCTCTCTATCATTTTCTCTGTTTTTGTCTTCTTCTTCGTCTTCTTTGGGGGCTATATGATGATGATACGTTCGAAGTCAGTGGACCAGACGTTGATGACGCTCTGTTTCTTGGCGTGTTTAATTTTGATTAATTCTGTCAACTTCTGGAAACTTTTGTTCAATTGGTAGAAGAATCGAAATTAGATAGATCTCAGAGCAGCACTAGAAGCAGTATCTGAGAAAAGGTCTAGGCTTTGAATATGTTGAAACTTAGTAAACCATATTCTTTCTTCTTAGCTATTGGAATGGTTATTACAGCAATGTAGGATACATCAGTGTTTTGTTAGAAAAGTAAATTGTGGGCCTAAAACCATTAAAAGAATGAATGAAACAATTATGAAAGTGGTCAACTTTGGGAACAAAGTTTGTGCCTTTGTGGTGCTCAAAGTTGACAACAACAAACTGATGTGAGTTGTATCTTGTTTTTGATCAAGATTGTGACTTTTGTGGTGGGATTATTCCAATTAATCAGGTTAAGTCTACCTAGGTTCTGTTGTGTGGAATTATTGGTGCTGAGGTCTCAATTAATTTGAGAACTCTTATCAGAAACTAGTCTAAGATAATAAAGTGGTTTCTTTTTTATTTCATAGCCTCATTGGTAGTATATTCTTTGTTGGACCTTTTTGTGTTTTGGCAGTATTGCTTTGGGAGAAACTAACTGGATTTTAACTAAATATTGTTAAACCAAAGTTTGTTTTCTTGGAGATTGAGCTTAGCTTTGTTTGGATCATACGGCCACTTGTGTGAGAGTTTGATTGATTGTGAAGTCTTTATTTTTTGTGTCATCATCATGCTTGATAGTTAAGAGAAAGGGAGAGGCAGAATCATCACAAGTTCTGATAAAGGACAAAACCTTTTCTGATGCAACTCACGTTTTCACTCCACAAGCTCCAAAAGAGTTTACTTGGGAAAACAAAAGTTTGACGAATGCAAAACCAATTTTGTTAGCATAAGACCAAACCCAGTAACCCACTTCTTCTTCTGCCTCCTTGCGTGTATTTGAGTTACTCTTGTTTTGAGAGAGAGAGAGAGAGAGAGAGAGAGAAAATGTCTGCTTGTTTGTGTCTTGTGTTCCTGTTCTTCTCTATTGTTGCAGAAGCAACGTATTCTCCCGGAGGTTTCCACCATCTTTCTTCTCTAAGACAACAGAAAAAGGCTTCTAAGTCAAAGCAAGAGTTACCTTTTGAGACTCGTTACTTCCCTCAAAATCTTGACCACTTCGGTTTCACACCAGAGAGCTACACAGTCTTCCACCAGAAGTACCTCATCAACAGCCGTTTCTGGCGCAAAGGTGGCCCCATCTTTGTCTACACCGGAAATGAAGGAGACATCGACTGGTTTGCTTCCAACACCGGTTTCATGTCGGATATTGCTCCCAAGTTCCAGGCTCTTCTTGTTTTCATTGAAGTATGAGCTTTTGCAAACCACTTAATTTCATATCTAGTTTGAAAAAGAGACTCAAAACGTTTATTATGGTGTTTTGTCTCCTTGTTGCAGCACCGGTTCTATGGAGAATCAACGCCATTTGGGAAGAAGTCGCATAAGTCAGCTGAGACATTGGGTTACCTAAGCTCTCAGCAAGCGTTGGCTGATTATGCGATCCTGATAAGAAGCTTGAAGCAGAATCTATCGTCTGAGGCATCGCCTGTGGTTGTCTTTGGTGGCTCTTATGGTGGAAGTAAGCTCACACCCACCACTTTCAGTGGGATAATCAATTGATGATACCTCATATTATTACTCATAAACTATGTTCTGTTGTGTGTCATGTCTTGCGACAGTGCTTGCAGCGTGGTTCAGGCTCAAGTATCCCCACATAACAATCGGTGCATTGGCATCCTCCGCTCCAATACTTCATTTCGATAACATTGTGCCATTGACGAGCTTCTATGATGCCATTTCTCAGGATTTTAAGGTGCTGTATGCTCTGTTTCCGGCAATTTTCATACAAAAGTGGCATTATAATGAACTTTTGTTATGAGCAGGATGCAAGTATTAATTGTTTCACAGTCATCAAGAGAAGCTGGGAAGAGCTAGAAGCAGTTTCAACTATGAAAAATGGCTTGCAAGAACTCAGCAAAAAGTTCCGAACTTGCAAGTAAATTATGCTTTAATGCTTATCTTCAAACTTGCAGTGAAATATATTCTCTCTTCTGTAAGCTCTTCAAACAAAAGCAGCTCAACCGAATCTGTTTTGCTTGAATTTTAGAGGCCTTCAGTCTAAATATTCAGCCAGAGATTGGTTAAGTGGAGCATTTGTTTATACAGCCATGGTTAATTATCCAACTGCAGCTAATTTCATGGCGCCACTGCCTGGTTATCCCGTGGAGCAGGTGAGATATTCATTACACCAAAGTGTGTCATTGAGTATTTTCTTATTTCCCGACCGGAATTTGGACTCGTTTTCTTTTGCATCAGATGTGCAAGATCATCGACGGGTTCCCTCGAGGATCCAGTAATCTTGACCGTGCCTTTGCTGCTGCAAGCTTATACTACAACTATTCGGGATCAGAAAAATGCTTCGAGATGGAACAACAAACTGATGATCATGGGCTCAATGGTTGGCAATATCAGGTAGTCTCATAAATAAAAGGATTTTCCTCTTTATCCAAAGAATGTATGAATATGAGTTTGAATGAAGTTTAGACTGTCATTTAGATATTGGTCATTTGGAGGATAGAACATATTCCAATGGATTTGCAGTCTCTAGAGCAAGAAATGATTTATGTTATGAAACTATAAATGACACAATATGATTATTGAATGGTAACAGGCGTGCACAGAGATGGTGATGCCAATGAGCTGCTCGAACCAGAGCATGCTCCCTCCGTACGACAATGACTATGAGGCATTCCAAGAACAATGCATGAGTACATACGGAGTCAAGCCTCGACCCCATTGGATCACCACAGAATTTGGCGGAAAGGTCCGTTTTTTCTTCCTCTCCATTGGAACAGGTTCTTCAGGTGTACGATTCAATATCTGCTCTTTGGTCATCTTTGCAGAGAATAGAGACAGTACTGAAGAGATTTGGAAGCAACATCATATTCTCTAATGGAATGCAGGACCCTTGGAGCCGTGGAGGGTAAGTGATACTAAGTAGTACTCTTCGAACATCAATCTTATGGGTTTTGGTTCTTAAACAGATCGTTTTTTTACCATCTAATTTTCAGGGTTCTGAAGAATATTTCAAGCAGTATCGTCGCGCTTGTGACCAAGAAAGGTAAACACTGCTGTTATGTTTATGAATGTGGGGGAAGTTGGACATAGATAGATTGAGCGAAAATCGAAAGATAACATTGTTTTGTGTGAAACAGGAGCTCACCATGCGGATCTGAGGGCTGCTACAAAAGATGACCCAGAGTGGCTGAAAGAGCAGAGGAGGCAAGAGGTTTCCATTATAGAGAAATGGATCAGTGAGTATTACAGAGATTTAAGAGAAGAAGAGCAATAGGAGCTAAACAAATAAAGAAATTTATGTGTACTGTGTTTTTGATTCAGTTCGTGTAACAAAGTAAAAACTTCACCAGGAATTTGTATTCCCTCATACAAATAATCTCATGTTTGTTTCTCTATGGGTGAATTCTGTAACGAATGAACAAATAGTGCCAATCTTGAAAAATGTTTATTGCACTAAATCAACCAACGAAAACATGGTTGTGTCTTCTGTCATTCGTTTGAGATTCAGTTTGTATAAAATAAATTAAAAAGCTAATCTTGGAGATCGTTTTCTCACATATCTCAATGTCTCTATGGGTAAATTTCTGAATCAACTGATTATAGAGTGCCAATCATAAAAGTAAGATTACGTAATATGAAAAGATTAGGGACGATTTCGAAAAATATCCAAAGATGTGGGGTGCTTTCGTAAATACCTTAAGATATGGGGCAATTTCGTAATTACCAAAAGATATGAGGCAATTTCGTCATTATCAAAAGATGTGGGGCAATTTCGTAATTATCAAAAGATATGGAGCAATATCGTAATTATCAAAAGATATGGGGCAATTCGTAATTATCAAAAGATATGGGGCAATTTCGTAATTACCAAAAGATGTGGGGCAATTTCGTAATTATCAAAAGATATGGGGCAATTTCGTAATTATCAAAAGATATGGGGCAATTTCGTAATTACCGAAAAATGTGGGGCGACTTCGTAATTGTCAAAAGATGTGGGGCAATGTCGTAATTACCACAACTTGTGGGGTAATTTTGTAATTACTGAAAGATATGGGGCAATTTCGTAATTACCGTAAAATGTGGGGCGACTTCGTAATTACCGAAAGATATGGGGCAATTTCGTAATGAGATGATGTCGTAATACCGAAAAGATTTGGGGTGATCTCGTAACAACGTCTGTTCGGGGGATATAGTTTCCCTCCAGTTACAGTAGTCTTTCTTTCCACTATGGCCAATTCGCCATGATCGTTGCTGCTCAGACGTGAATCGAAGAATAGTGATCTGATCGATGATTTAAAAAATCGAGCTTTCATCACTAACCGGGGCAATGGTTAGCAGCAGCAACTTCATTTGTCCTCCTTGCGAGATCTGCGATTGTCCTCCTCCTTTGTCTCTCCTCCAGATTGCTCCCGGTACTGTTTTTTTTTTTGTTTTTTTCTCTCATTCTGTTGGAAAATTAGCATCTGGGTTTTCAATTTGATTCATAAATTAGGAGACTTTAGTTCTTATAAATCTGGAATACTTAAGATTGTTTGATCTTTCATTGTATAATGTAAGCCATAAGAGTCTCAATTTCTAATAAAGTTTCATTCGTGTATTGTATGTATTCTTTTGCAGGGCTTGCAAACCTCTCTATTACAGGTTCGATCTCCTTCCCAAGCTTGCAAACTTTGTATGTATTGTTTCTCTACTGATTTAATAATATGAATGAGAATGCCTCTCTGATGGTTTCTTAATGAAGACCTTCATTGAACCATTTGAAAACCTAGGAATCTGGTGAATCTGTAACCAATGGGTGCAACTATTTCTCTTTAGGTTACTTTTTATTTGGGTTTCTTGATCAGACATAGGAGCCTGAGATTCTCTTATCTGTGTTGCAAATTGCATTAGGAATGCTTTTAACAAAATAGTTGTTATAGTTATTCTGTTTTTAAGATGTTCGTTCCTCTTTTAGTCCATGGAAAGTAGAATATGTATGTTGTCGACTTATGTTGTGTATCATGTCAGGTTGTGGAAGCAATGATCCAGAGCTCAAAGAGGAGATGGAGAAGCAGTTTGTTGATCTTCTCACAGAAGAGCTGAAGCTGCAAGAAGCAGTTGCAGACGAGCATAGTCGTCACATGAATGTTACACTTGCCGTAGCTAAAAGGGTTGCTTCACAGTACCAAAAGGAGGCTGAGAAGTGTAACGCTGCCACGGAAATTTGTGAATCAGCTAGAGAGAGAGCTCAAGCATTGTTGCTCAAAGAGCGGAAGATCACTTTTTTGTGGGAACGCATAGCTCGGCAATTAGGTTGGGAAGGTGAGTAAGGAATTCACTGTTTAGTGACTTCTTCTCAGTCTACTCTGAAGAGTTTCTCGATGGAAGAAAAATAGATTTTTTCTTCCGCATAGAGCTCATGAGAACATGGGATTCGCTTAATTCTCAAGGCAATGTTTTTGTCTCCCATGTTCTCTATATATGTAGCTCTTTTTTGTTCTGCACTTGGATCTAAATGTACCTAAAGAAAGGGTTGGCCTTGTATTGACTTTTTTCTTCAGATATATTTTTGTCCAGTCACATTGGACGAGAAGTCACCGACTTCCGTATTTTATTGGCAAATGCAACCATCATTTTCTCATCAGCCAAAGCAAAATATATACATATTGAACTTGGATTTTGTGTCTGTTGAGATTTGCAGCTGATTTGATTTTTAAGAGGATTTGTATTGCAGCTAATGTTGGATGGCATGCATCTGTGATATAAGCATGGCCTAAGCATATAAGTGGGTCAATATTCACTTGGACTCTTTGTTTCTTCTTTGTAAAAGATTAACAAAGACTTTTCAGATACATGAGACTTTGTGAAGAGGGACAAGAGCAGAGGAAGAGACAAAACTAGAGAAAAGTCAAGAAAGGGTTGACATAATGCAGCATATGATCACTCCAGGTATTACGCAGCACCAACTTTCAATATTCATTCATGCACAAAAACAGCTGCTTTTTTCTGTTTATTTGATTTGTTTATTTTTAGTGTCAGCCATTAATAATAACTCTCTTTCTCTCTTTGCATTATTCTAATATGCTCACATGGACAGATTCCTTAAAGCTTTTTATTAACCCTTTAGATCTACCATTAAAGAACAGATCTCGGTTCAGTGACTTCTGCAAACCGTCTAGACCCATGTGGGTTGTCCAAACTCTATAGCTTGAGGCTATTTGTTCTATATTCAACTTTATATGTAGTTATGTTTCTTTTGTGTTCTTCTCTGAAGCTTCCTTCGTGGACTTCTGCTGTTTTTTTCCTAACTTTGGAATAGTTTTTGTATATCTCTGGACACAGAAATCGCAAATTCTTTTTTTTGTTAAATGGAAGGTTCCATGAACAAGCGAGGATACGAATGCAGTCAAGAGGATACAGACAAGTTGCCAGAATCAAAGAGACAAAAAGTGCCTGCTTTGGCAAGGTAACTTCCTTTAGGATTTTCTGTCATTTTCTGTTTCAAAGTAGCCAAATGGTTAAACCTCACAACTATTGAAGAAACAATGCTTTGTTGTTGTTAGATCATGGAGGAGAATGTAAACTCTGTTCCGTTTTGAAACTAAGATTCTTTACTTTTCTGAGTCAAGATTTATTCTTTGTTGAGAGATGTTGTCTTAAAATTTTGTTGTTACATTTCTAAACCTCTCGATTCGCTTACAAGTTGTTGATTTTCTCATCCCTTCATATGAACTTTTTACAGTGTTATTGTGGAAGCTGTCAAGGTAGATAGTCTGCAGAGGCTTTGCTCGTCTTTGGAGCCATTGTTTCGCAGAATTGTGAGTTTTTATTCTACTCTTAATTTAGACATGTAATGATTTTAGAGTAAATTGTGAGATGCTTCTGGAGTTGTAAACTTGCTATGGTGTGGACAAACAAACAGGTTAGTGAAGAGGTGGAACGAGCCTTATCAAGGTTGGGAAATGCAAAGTTAACATCGAGGTATTTTCTCCAGTTATACCTTTTCCTCTTGAAATGGCTCTGTGATATTTGAAGCGTTTGAGTCTCTAGTTAAACCGACACAAAATTTCCAGGTCACCAGAACCAAAGAGGATCCAAGACCGCGATGGAAGAAACCTACAACTTCACTTTAGGACGCGAATGCCTCCTCACTTATTCACAGGTGGGAAAGTCGAGGGAGAGCGAGGCTCGGCAATTCATGTGGTTCTTATAGATGCAAACACAGGAAATGTAGTCCAAACAGGAGAAGAGTCAGCTTCAAAGCTGAATGTTGTAGTGTTAGAGGGTGACTTCAATGATGAAGACGATGAAGACTGGACGAGAGAGCACTTTGAGAGCTTTGAAGTGAAAGAGCGAGAAGGGAAACGCCCCATTTTAACTGGGGACACACAGATAGTGCTTAAGGAAGGTGTGGGAACTTTAGGAGAACTTACTTTCACTGACAACTCGAGTTGGATACGGAGCCGAAAGTTTAGGCTTGGTGTTAAGCCGGCTGCAGGGTGTGGTGATAGCTTTTGCATTCGTGAAGCCAAAACAGAACCTTTTGCTGTCAAAGATCATAGAGGAGAATGTGAGTTTCTAATCATTTGGATTGTATAGATGAGTGTTAGTTACTACTAACTTGGCTCTGTCATCTGTAAAAATTCATTTTCTTTTGACAATGTTTTGCAGTATACAAGAAACATTATCCACCGGCTGTACACGATGAAGTCTGGAGACTGGATAGAATAGCGAAAGACGGAGTGCTACACAAGAAACTATTGAAAGCTAATATCGTGACAGTCGAAGACTTCCTTCGACTCCTTGTTAAGGATCCACAGAAGCTGAGAAATGTAAGCATATATATATATATATATATATCTGTTAATGTGAACAAACCACCAATATTGCCAAAGATATACTAGTTAAATGTTCTTTTTTTCCTGATAATGTAGTTGCTTGGGAGTGGAATGTCGAATAGAATGTGGGAGAACACGGTGGAGCACGCAAAGACATGTGTGTTGGGTGGGAAGCTTTATGTGTTTTACACAGACCAGACTCACGCTACAGGCGTTGTCTTCAACCATATCTATGAATTCCGAGGCCTAATTACAAACGGGCATTTCCTATCGCTAGAGTCTCTCAACCATGACCAAAAGGTAATGAGTAGCGACAGACATATATCATTATTTCTGTCCAAATATGACAACAGTTTCTTGGTTGCTAAGCTGATCATTGGTTAGCTCACAGATTTCTGCAGATATTTTGGTCAAGCTGGCTTACGAGAACTGGCATAAAGCTATTGAGTACGACGGTAAGCTGTTAAATTGCTTACCAGTTGCCGAGAAGGAAGTAAAAAGCTTACCAGAACCAAAAATGGTCACAGCACAAACAACTCAGAACCATCAACAGCTGCACAATCAGAATAATAGGCAAACTGTGCAATGTCATCAGAATGCTATTACCTATACACTGGTCCCTCAACCAATAGATTATCCTCAGTTTGAGCAGCAAAATTGCAGCCAATTATTACCCTCATTTCCTTGCAACGTACAAGACTACAACAGGTCGATGGAAAGTTCCAATGATTCAAGTTCATACAATGGAGAAGATTGGTGTCGCCCAAGAGCTGCAGGACAAGGACTTGAAGACATTTTCAGCGAAGAAATCAGACTAAGGAGCTCTGAAATGCTTGAGACTGATGATATGCAGAGACTGTTGAAGACTTTTGGCATTGGTGTGAACAATGTGGGAACAGAAGGTGGGTTTGGTCAGACTGATGAGTCTTGTTACGGTTATAACATACCGTACCAAGCTCAGATCGATAACACGTTCAGGACAGAACGTAACAGAGGCTCGGGAAAAGCTGTGGTTGGATGGCTAAAGCTTAAAGCTGCTTTGAGATGGGGTATCTTCATACGCAAGAAAGCTGCAGAGAGGAGGCCTCAGATTGTGGAGATCGATTGACAAAAAATGGGATAGAGAGCCTTTTGAGGTTTTAATCCTTTGACGAATTTTCGTTTTCGTTAAAGCTTGAAGACAGTTTCTTTGTGTTCATCTTTTGGATGAACAATCTAAGGGTAGAGAGAAGTGGACTTTGCTTTCTATTACATGTATTGCTTTATTATGTTTTCTCTCTTATGTTTCATGTTAGTTTTTATTTTTTGACATCGTTTTAATGTTAATTATAGTCCCTTAATTATATTAGTAATTTATGTCATACTATAAGTTTTTATATTGGAAAAAGTGAACACTATATGACATTAACTTATAACATTTTACTATAAAAAAAAATGAACCCATCATATAAGTTTCAACCATTTTGCCATCTAATATTTTAGTCATTTTCCTATATAATATTTTCAGCTATTTTGTTAGCCAACCACTTTTAAATCTACCAAAATATAATCAATTTATTTTGAAATATAAATATAATATCTCAACTAAGTATGTTTATGAAACAAATAAAAAAATAAAAATCCAGCAGAAGCATTCATCAATTATCCATTAGGACGCGCAATAATTAAAAGTGCCACCATATCTTTTCATTTCCATTTAAATCCGACGACAAAACAAAACTTTATTATGCAATTTGTTACAATTTACAATTAATTTAAAAATCATTTACAAAGGTTGACAAAAAAAAAAAATCAATTACAAGAAAAGTTTAACTAAAAATTAAAATATTGATTTTGAATTAATCTATCACTTCTAAAAAGAACTAATCTATCACTTAAAAAAAAATTGATCTATCACTTTAAATTTGACAGTCGACGTTGGATGGCGAAAGAAAATATGAACGTTATACACAATTAAGTTTGTTTCTTACCGTTATGAACTTGTAAATACAAATTGGAATTTTGATTTTAATTAAAAAGTGTGGATAATGACCCTTGTACATACTTAAAACTTTTTTCATTTTTGTTGAAAATGGTAATATTCCCTAAGGTTTGTACTATAAATACCCAAGCTTGGTGAAGTGTTGGAACCAAGCTAAGTGAACTTGAAAGAGTTTGAAAGACTCTTTAAAGGTCTCAAACTCTTAAAAGGTTTTCTGGACTGAGGGCGTAAATCATCGGGACAATGGTTGAGATTTGGCGTTGTGTTCTTGAAATCAGGAAAGAAATTGTATTTTCCTTTGATATATTTCATGTCGAACTTTCATTGTGAAACCCCACTTGCCCACCTAAGTAGTTGTGCTTGCGTAAAACCAACTTCAAGTTCAATTCCTTGGAGTTGAACAATTTTTCCTTCTATTCTCCTTATTTTTTTAAATGTCTAAACTCTTCCGACTCAAAACTTTTTTTATGATTCCTCGCTCGTTCAGACAAGACTTTGGTGCTATAATTGTATTTTCTCTGTTAAGTTATATAGTCTTTGACTTATTTCATATAGTTTGAAAACATTTTAAATGACCATTATTTTAAATCCAGCTCATCATATGTATGAGTGTTAGAAAAAAGTTTATAAGATGAGGGAATGAAATGTTGCTAGCTTCATAAATGTTGTACGTGTGTGTTGAGAAATAGTAGAAAAGTACATAAACTGGTTTTGATGTTCTGTTTCTGCCTAAGATGTAGAACGATTGTTAGTTTTGACTTGAAAAGAGTAATCAAACTTTTGGGTGTTAGATGATGTCTAAAAATGTCTCAAACTTAAGAGAGAGTGAATGATGTATGTATATATGTATAGGGTTGATATATGTGTGTATTAGATGTATGCAAGCAATTCGCTAACGTAACAAATGCTGAAAATAGTTTGCCCGCCAAAGCAAAATACAAAAAGTGAAAAACAAAACACGATAACATTCCAAAGCAAAACACACACGTTAGCCGAAGCCCTTATGCAAATTTTTTTAGAAAAATTCACAAAAAAAGACAAACACACTTTAGTCGAAGCATGAAAACATTCTAAAGTAACAAAAGATTTAAACTGACTAAAAACATTGAAGCACGAAAAACATTCAAGAGCAACTAAGAAAATAGCAAATATATGTTAGCTGAAACACAAAAACATATACTCCCTCTGTCCCAATATATAAGATGTTTTAGACCTTTTCATTTGTTCCATTATATAAGATTTTCTCTACTTTCAATGTATGGTTTATATTAGTTTAATAGTTTTTAATTATTTTAATTATGTAGTATCTTCTTCTATTGGTTGAATTTTCATAAATGAGAAAACATTTATTGTTTCTTAATCTCTGTGTTTTTAGTCCAAACATCTAATAAAATGAGACAGAGGGAGTATTTTTTTTTAACAAAGAAACACAAAAACATTTAAGAGCAACATTTAAGAGCAAACCCATGTGAATCAAAAACACTAAAATATTCAAGAGCCAAAAAAGAAAAAGAAATAGCAAACACACATTAGTCGAATCAAGAAATTATCTTAGCCAAAAAAAAGCACACACTTGGTAGTCAAAGCACAAAAAGAAAAATTTTGAAATGCAAAACCGCCAAACCCTTACAATAACAACAAACATGGACATAGTCAAAACTGACATTCTATTTGTCAACAGCTGAAAACTCCAAATTAGGCCTTGAATTGAAAAGCATAAAAAATGCGGAACTAAACTTTATTTTTTTTGTAATGTAATATACTTTGATTCAACAACAAAAAGAACAAACTTTCTTACAAAAAAGTTAAAAAAAAAAAAAAAAAACTTTACCATATTTGTAAAGATTGTTGACCAGAGAAGAAACATAATAGGAAAGATCAAAATCTTTCATTGAATTAAACAGTCTAACCTGAACATTGTCTTTAAATACAAACAACTAAACCAATTCTCAAATCATTACTCAAACATAACTAAAAAGTTTGATACTAAAGATAAACCAGTTAATATTATAACATAACTTCTAAATTTCATTTTCACATCACCTCCCTCAATAGTTTAATCGACGAGATTAGACATGTTGAGTGGCTCGAGGTTCTGACTTAAACCAATAAGATTCATCGCATTTGAGATCATTAATTAATTTCACACACCAACTAAAACCGGACCGGGATGAGAATTTGATTAAACCGGACTTGGGACTACACAGAGCTTCTCCTTTTTAATGGACACTGAGGAGACAGTGGAAGAGCCACTCACTCACTCACTCATCAAAAATGGCAGAAAATGTTGGAAGCGACTCGAGCGAAATCGAAAGCATCACTTCTTCTCAGAAATCTTTCCTCAAAAACTGTCCTTTCGCCGGTCACGAACCTCTTCCGACGAAATCGACGGATTCCGACAACACTGAGGTTCTCGGAAACAAGATTTCTCCGGCGATTGTTAAAACTCCGGTTCTCTCGTTCTCTTCTCCGACTAGCCTCGATTCCATCAGCGATGAAGTCTTCCGTACTCCTCCTGAGAACGCTTCTCTCTCCTCTGCCACTGAATCGGAACCCAGAGTTAGGGTTTCGGAGATTAAGCTCCGAGGAGGTACATCTCCGTCTTCTGAGGCCAAAACAATGCCCGTTTCTTCTTCATCTTCTCTTCCAGAAGCAAATGTTAGGGTTTCGAAGTCGAATTTGAAATCTCCGTCTTCTACGGCCAAAACGCCGCCTGTTTCTACTTCTCCGTTGGTGAATGTTAGGGTTTCGGAGTCGAATTTGAACTCTCCGTCTTCTACGGCCAAAACGACGCCTGTAACTGCTTCTCCGTGGGTAAATGTTAGGGTTTCGGAGTCGAATTTGAAATCTCCGTCTTCTACGGCCAAAACGATGCCTGTTTCTGCTTCACCGTCGGTAAATGTTAGGGTTTCGGAGACGAATTTGAAATCTCTGTCTTCTACGGCGGAGACAACGCCTGTTTCTGCTTCACCGTCGGAAAAAGTTAGGGTTTTTGAGACGAAATGTCCTTCTGACTCCGTTCCTTTGTCTTCTCCGCCGTCTGTTGCGGCCGACGATGTTAGGGTTCCGGCAAAGCATCTTGATTCTGATTCTTCTCCTCCGACTGCAATCGGAAGAACCATGGGTTTGGTAAAACAACTTGTTTCTGCTTCTGTGAGTTTCGATTCTGCTTCTTCGTCTGCAAGTGAAGGGATCAAGACCTCTGAAGCTGAAAGTTCTGGTGGAGATTTGCCATTTAAAGAAATCATCGAAGCACTTCTTCGTAACAGTGGAGAGAATCTCAAAGAAAGAGATGATAAAGTTAGCTATGTTGAGATTCTCAAACAATGTGGTTTAAAATTCCCTAAATGATTGATTACAGATTTAGTAAGTATTATTTGCTTTTGGATCTTTCTCTGTTTTAGTATGTTCTTGTTGTTTCTGTTTCGGGATTACGCATTCAGATCTTTCCTTTTTTGTTGATATGAATGCGTCGGGGAAAAAAAGTTGGGAGCTTTTGTGTTCTGTTGCTTCAACTATAAGTAATGATAAGTATTTTGTTCAAATTACAAGGCTAAATCCTACAAAGATGATATCTTATTCTACCGTTATTGCATTCGATAGCATTGTCTGAGGAAATAACGCCTTTGTGTGTTGTTGCAACTTGCAAAGGAAGGATTTAGTTGTGTTTCTATCTTCAAAATCCAGCTCTCTCTATCTTTTGCTGAATCTCAAGCACCGATTCTGCTTAGTTTCCTTGATGCTTGGCTCGTCATTTTGTTGTTTGCTTGGTGGATTGTTGAGAGCGAGTTTCTCCATTGCGTTCATGAACTTTCGCACGTGCTTTATGTACTCGGGGTATGTTTCCAAGTTGCAATGCCCTCCTCCTTTTACCCACAATGGATCATACTTGTCCTTTGCAAGTTCCCACAATCGCCTCCCGTGTGAGATGTTCACAATGTCATCTTTTGTTCCCTGCGGTTTCAGAAACAAAGTTTAATAATCTCTCATTCGCGGTCTTTGGTTAATGAGAACAAGTGATGATGTAAACTTACATGTAAGACAAGAACAGGGCATGTTACATGGCGTATCTTCTCAATGTTCTGCAAAATTCCAGAGTTTGAGAGACTGACCCGATAGCAATTATACAGAGACAATTGAGATCAAGCTTACTTTGTACATATCAAACCAGAATGTCATTTTGACAGGATATAGAACTCTAAGGCCAGAGAGAATTGCGCTATGAAGAATAATCCCTCTTAGTCTCTTTAATCGAGTCGCTAAATGCAACGTTGGTCCGCTTCCAACAGATTGACCATATAGAATCATTTCCTCTTGCGTGATCCCGTACTCGCTCCTCAAGCAATTGTACACAGCCTCGATATCGTAGTATGTATTGAGCTCAGTTGGCTAAAGAACAATCAAAGGTTAAACAAAGAGCCAAATCATGAAAAATGTTTGAAATTTTGAACGAGTCTCTTTCTTACCTTGCCTGTTGAAACTCCATAGCCTGAATAGTCATAGCTGTTTCAAAGACATGAAGAGGTTCAGGTTCGTTCATAAACAAAAAGAAAGTATTTTCAAATTTGTGTATGTATAAAGTATAAACCTCATAATGTTGACGCGGAGATGAGCACGAAGCTCGATGAAGAGATCAACCATTTGGCCGAGATCCGCGGCATTTCCATGTGAATAAAGAAGAGTAAATCTAGAAAAAGGGTGTTTCCAAAAAGTGGCAATGACCTTGTTGCCTGATTTGGTGGTAAGCTGATGAACATCCATGCTTTTTTCTGGCGTAATCCCGGTGAACATAAGCTTTCCGGTCTCCTCGTCTTTACTCACTCCGTATGTAGGTGGCGGTGGGAAGAAAGCGAATTTCGCCGCCATGTTTGACGTTACATTACCCATATCAATTAGTATTATTGTTCAGAAAAAGTTAAAAGAAAAAAGTTTCTATGAGAAAGAAGACAGAAAACAAAAACCCAAACCCCAAAATCTCTCCCTCCCTCTCTCTTTGGATCTAAGAAAAGAAAAGATAAAGGTTAAGACTTTTTGTTTTTGGTGGGTTTATGTTTAGGGGAGAGGAAGGAAATAAAATGGAAGGTAATGGAGGAGAATATTTGGCGGGAGAAAGAAGTTGAGCTGTTTCTTTAACAAATTTAATATGTATTTTGTTTTTATGGTTTTCTTTTATAAGTTGGCATTAATATTGAGATTGACATATTTTTTCACAAAAATGGATGTGAAAATTGAATCTAGTAATTTTGAATCCCTCAATTAACTCGATAATCGATTAATTATCTTCGCTGAACGGCTTGATTCATTATTTGAAATGATCCAACTCAAATCGGATTAAAGAACTATTCAATCATTAAGAATTTGTTGAGATGATTATCGAAGACTTTGGAATAGATAGTTCAGTGAAATATATTACACGCAGCTACAGATTTCCACTGAGAAGAAATTTGATGCTATATGATTTTCCACCGCGAAATGATTGTCGACTGCGAGCGAACTTTCATCGGTAAGAACATTCCACAATCAAAATTGCAAGCAGCTACAAATTTTAGCATATCAACCTCATTTTAACACAACCATATCACATATTCTATCTCTCCCTTTGTCTCTCTTTTAGCACAAACACTTGAAAGCCTTCTTTTCTCAGGTCAGTTTGGTGTCTCGCTCTCAGCTGTTTCTGGGACTTCTTCCACGATTTCTGGAGTTTTTAACAAAGGGATTGGACTGTTACCGCATTCACTCGTCGAGCTACTGCTATTGATCACTTCCCTTTTCATTGGCTTCAGAGAAACTTTAGGGAGTGTATCTGCAGGAGTAATAAGTAAATGCTCTTCTGAATGTTTCGGCTTGTTCAGAGCTCGACAATGAGGACAGTAGTAAGTAGTGTACAGGAAATCCTCTTTCCGGGCGAGTCCTGCATGATGAGAGAGGAAGAGAGACATTGTACAATTAAGTTATCAACGATATTGCATCTAGTGTGTCAACAATATGTGAGAGTTTGGTTGTTTTAGAAGAAAAAAGACAGAGATAGTGTCTCACTCACCGTTATGCATACGGCAGTTTCCACAGATGAGTGCATATGACTGAGTTGGATCTTCGCCTACAAGGAGAGCTGCGATGCGTGAGATCCAGGTACCATCATGAGCAGCATATCCATGAGGATTAAAATGCTCAAACACCAACTGTTGGTTTTGCTCTGTGCCGGTGATTCTTTCGCTTGTCCCTGAATGGTTAGACTCATTATCAGAATGATGGGTTGGAGTGGTCCCAGCACTGTTGTGTTTTGTATTTGGTTGTCTTCGGTTCCTGAGCCCTCGTGAGTGTTTGGCTTCCATGTCATTGCTCTTGCCTGGGGTGGGGTCAAGTTGGGATTCATCTCCTACAAATACTTTCAAGCCTGACTCAGCACCCAACTTGGATGCCAGAACAGTTGCAGCAGCCGCCTTTGCAGCTGGGTCAGGGTCATACCTCTGATACAAAATAACTAATGTTAAAACAAGTTCCAGTCACAATAGTGATAAACCCCACAATAACAAACATCCGTTAAGATATATCAGCAATTCAATTCTTTTTCAAGTTTCTGAACAATTTGCAAGTCCACCATACCAGTAGAAGAAGTAATTCCAGAACTCAAAAGGTCTTCCTGTCCTTTATCAGTACCAGTTCCAGTTAAGTCAAGTTGGGAGACATATCACACTATGAATTTCAACTGTAACACTTAAGAGTTTAGATTCCTAACCACCCTTTATCCACACTTACAATTAAGCTTTGCCTAACACATGGAGCCACTAGTTTGACAGTGGCAAAGCTAGCGCAGCTTGAGAATCGAAAAAGAGAGACCTCTCAATAAGGATAATCCTTGTCTAATGGCTGACTGTCCTAAAGGAATTCCAATCCAAAATTTTCGATACCATGCTCTTTGCTAAGTTTAAATTTAAGGTCACCTCCTAATGCAACAAAGACGGATAACTTGCAATATAAAATAGAAATGAAAAATGATCTAATCCTACGATAAAGCTAGAGTCTTTAAGTGATATGTATCTCTATCAGAACTATGTAAAGTAGTGCAAGCAAGAAAACACAGCAGCACACATCAAAACACGACAGTGGAACTAATCAAGAATACCAGAAACCCAATAGAATCCGAAATGAACTAGCCTCACGCACACAAAACAAGTTATACCTTACCTGAATAAGTTGTTGTGTAATGTAATAATTGGTCCTTTCCTTTAACTCATTGATCTTTCCCAACATTTCTGCTTGAAGCTTTTCCAAGGTATGCTGATCTCTGCGGTCACCTAAACCAAACCATTTCACACACACAAATACACAACTTAGACACCAAGCCTAAGACAAATTTCATGAGCAACTAAAAGATGGAAAACACAAGACAAGACTCACACATCCTCCAGAAACCAACGAGTGAAGAATAGAGAAGAAAGGCAACAGCAGGTAAAAGAAACATTGGCAAGATCCTGAAACTCCTCAGTTTCCAATCCAAATCCTCATCTCTGGTTGTCATGATTGCATAACTCACTGCAATTACCTGTAAGCAGACAAAAACAGAAACTGTTTTCACTACACACAACACTATAACATCAATTTCGAAGAAGAAGAAGAAGAGACTAACCTCAAAGAAGACAGAGAAAGCGATGAGATTTCTAATGAAGTTCCTCCTTGTAATCGATCTACGCTTCATTCTATTACGAACAGTCGCTTCTTCCTTTGAGATATTCTTAAGTCTCTTCTCGAAATCGTCACCTCTAACCCTAAATATCGCATTCCAAATACGCGAGAACAAACCTTTACGCTTCGTCGTCTTCTTCTCGCCGGAAGCAGAGAGTACAACGGCGGAATCATTCTTCTCGCCGCCGCTCTCAGCCACCGTTCCTTCGTGCTCTTTCTCTCCCACCGCCATTTCCGATTCCTTGCGCCGACTTTACACTACTACTACTCTGAAAATCAAACTACAGAATCTATCGTTGATGATGAAGTTAGAAAGAATTTCTTCGGCTGATCTGAGATTCGTTGGAGAAGGAGACTTCTTCTTCGAAAGTCGTGAAGAGGAGGCCAAGAAAGTGTGATGCTTCGCTCTCTGCCAAAGTTTTCTTCTTCCTCTTGGAGAAGGCAAAGAGGAAACGCAGAAATTACTCAAAGCTTTTGGGATTATTTGATTAGGGGTTTATTGGACTCTGTATTTATGGTGATTTTTTTAAGAAGAATTTGAAGGTTTAGTGAAATTATGTAAATTATTAAGTTAAACTTGAGTGTGAAAAAATATATAAAGAATTTAGTGTTATTTAATTTAGTGATATACAAGTTTGAAATTTGAATAAATTTTTCAAAAATATAGTAAAAATCTAAAACATAGAAATAATATAACTTATAATTTACTTTAGTGTTATTTAATACACAATTTTTGAAATTTGAATAAATCTTTTAAACCATTTCAGTAAAAATATGAACATTTGCTATAGAAATTCTTTAAATAATAATAATTTTTAGTAAAATAACTAATAGAATTTCGATATTTAAAAATCATAAACTACATTATCATTAGGATTGTTTGACGTGAAATTGGACGATCTAAACAACATATATCGATTGGTGATGAACTAGTATGAAAAACGATAATTTAGGATGTTTTTGGAGGAGCGAGTCTAAACATATATTCCCTCCGTTTTGAATTACTTGTCATTCTAGATTGTTTTATGTAGATTAAGGAGTTTTGTAAATTGACTACTTTAACCTCACAAATAAATACAATTAAATATAAATATTATATATATTGTGTAAGTTTAATTGAGGTTATACTTGAAATTCTTTGACAAAACGTACATTAAAAAACGAGAACGACAAGTATTTTAAATCAAAGAAAAAACCTAGAACGACACCTATATCAAAACAGAAGGAGTACTACAATACGGTCATAAAATTTCATAATGACAAAAATTGTTTTTTCGATGGTTCTCAAACTTTTTAGTTCATCCAATTCTTGAGAGTAGGTAGCTTAATTGGATGAACTAAAAAGTTTAGGGGGGCTTATTGGGATGTTGATTTGTGTAAACTTTGTGGATTTCAAAAGTTGAGAGATTTTTAAAATCTTTAAAGATTTTTGTGGATTCTTATAAATATGTTTACACAAATTTGTGAAATCATTACAATAATTTTATGGGTTGTCGTAGATTCATGGTGATTTTTTTCTTCAAAAATTTATTAGAAAAATATTTGATATGCTTGCTTTCCAAATATTCTATCTTTTAATAAGGAATGATTATTTGTTTATAATGGTGGTTTGACGTAGAGAAAAACTCATCTTCTCCAATCATTATTTGTGGCGAGCAAAGGTACAAAAACTATTTTTTTGTTCCTTCATCATAGTTTTGATACATTTTTTTTGTATTATATTATGGAAAAACTGTTAATGAAATAGCTGAGAATTTGGTTACATCGGTTTTGATTTTTGTTCTTTTAACGAACATGGCTGTTTGTTTTGATACGGTTTTTGTTTGCTATATATATGGATGAAATGTCTGGATTTTTTGTGTTTGTTTTCTATTTTGGAGTCGATGATTAGATAGTGGAAATGAGAGGGGTTTTTAGAATACATAGGATAACTAGAGTATTTTTAAAGTTGTTGTTAATGAGTAAACATGTAAAGAATCATTGTTCCAATAACATTAGAGTTTGACAGAATTGCAAAATCAATAAATACACAACTTTTTGAATAACAAAAGATTTTAAATAGAATTACAAAATCCATACACCAATAACACCATATTTTAATTGAATTGCAAAATCACAACACCAATAACATGAGATTTTACTAAGAATATAAGAATCTACAAACCAATAACAATAGAATCTTAAAATTTTAAAAGTCTTTAGAAATCAACATCCCAATAAGCCCCCCTTAGTCATGTGATTGATCACATAATTAGTTCATATTTCCAACTCTTTCATATCTTCAGTCATTTAATTTACCCATAAAAGCGTGAAACACAACAAAAAAAAAGTTACAAAAAAACGAAAAATCAAAAATGTTATTTTCTTCAAGTATCAATCAATACGTGTTTAGGTGTATCCATCCTAAATTGAAATGATGGTTATGTTCAATACGTGTTCACTTGTATCCACCCACTTCCTTCCAAAACCAATAAATGGTTATGTTTCATTCATTATTTCACGCGCATTCTCTTGCCATAATTCCGGACGAAAAGTCATATTTATACGTTTTCAACACCATAAAGACCCATGAAAGCCTATACATTGTATGAACAAAAAGTTCTCTACAAGCTTTGATTTGCTTCTACTTACAAATCTTTTATCTTCTACTTACGATCAAGATATCGAAATAATACCACAATTTTTCTCTACATATTCTATGTTATATGAACAAGAAGTTCTCTATATAGTCACAATCTTTTCTCTTCTCTGTGTTTCTATAAGAATCCTAAAGACCCATCCAGCATGAACTTCCGTTACGGTTATGAATCAGTGAGACTGTAGGCAAAGACACGGACCATTCGTACCAAACCTGCCCACCAAAAATGTATACAACATAGATAAGTATGTGTGAATGTGTTGACTCTTTTTTTTTCTTCGGACTATTTTACCTTTGTGGAATCGCTACATCTCCAGAAATGTGCTTCTATTGGAGACTTAGGGTGAACTTCAACAGGCTTCATTAATGGGAAAAAGAGTGGACACCTGCAATATATTAAACATAGTAAATCAGAGTCAGATGTCTTAAAACTTTGAATTCTACCAGAGCAAAGAGGTTCAACGTTAATCATATTACCAGCCGAACAGATTTGGTGTTGCTGTTGTAGGCTCGATGCTAATACGGACATATATCTTCATAGAGAACAGCTTCAAAATAGCCAGCAAATCCTAGTTGTTGGTGTCCGATCCCGCACCAGAAGTCCGAGACCAACCAAAGATTGCCACGTAGTCAAGATAATGGCCCATAAAGGATAAAGCCCATTGGACCCGTGAGCCGAGGGAACGGTCGAAGTGGTTGTCACCACTTCGAGAATCCGAAGTGACTGCACTGTGACATGAGTTCGGTGTAGAAGACACAGGTAAGTCGGTTCAAGGACAATTGGGCCAAAAAGGCGAGGCCCATGAAGATCAGAGTCAACTCAAATTCAAACGTTGAAGCATTAAAGTCAAAGAATCAAAACGGACACATTTAAGAAGGAATAATTGTACTTAATTACTCATTTTAATGTCGTTTCTCTATGTATAAATATAAAGGCCAATGGCCATGTAAAGGGGATCTTCCTCTGAAGAAAGAAATACTATAGCAATTTTCGTAGCAATTTATAAGTTTTTCACATATTCATTTTTGTCCCTCAAGAATAATCTTTCCTACTTAATAAAATACTTGAGTGTGTGAATCCGACATCCACATTTTGGCGCCGTCTGTGGGGAAATAGGATTCTTGAGTGGTCAGATTTTTCTTTATTACACTTCCGAGATAAGCAACAATGTCCGGAGGAGACACCGTTGAGACATCATTGGCCGAAACCCTCAAAGCTATGCAGCAAACCATGTCGGACATATCACAAAAGTTCTCGGATGTGGAAAAGGCCGTCGATACGTTGCAAACATCCCAGGTATCTCTTAGTCAAAACGTCAATACTATACAAACTCGTGTTCGCTCTTTAAGTGCAGGAAACCTTGTGGGAATCCGAAGAGGGATATTCAACTCGCCAAGTTCCGCTGCACGAAATGAAACCAGCGGACAAACAACTCCCGGTGCTACTAATAATGTAGTTCAGACGTTGGAAGAAGAGACACAGCTCGGAGATGAAGAACAACTTGCAGCTCAATACGAGCAGGAGAACCTCGACCAGTTCGAGACCATGAGGAAGGTTAGCCAGGAATTAAAAGAAATGAAATCAAAATTTCATCAAGCTACAAGTTCGGAGCCAGACATCAATCGAGTCATTGAAGAAGCTAGGCGAACACCTTTCATCTCGCGAATTGCAAGTTTGAGGATCAAAGATTCCCGGAAACTCAAGTTGGACCCTTACAGCGGATTGGAGGATCCAAAAAGCTATCTCGCAGCTTTTCTGATCGCTGCTGGAAGAGTCGAATTGGATGAAGCTGATGAGGACGCCGGCTACTGCAAGCTTTTTTCGGAGAATCTATGTGGCCAAGCTCTAATGTGGTTCACCCAATTAGAGCCGGGTTCGTTCAGCAATTTCGACGAACTATCAGCCGTATTCTTAAAGCAATACTCCATCCTTATGGATAAAAGCGTTTCGGATGCCGATCTTTGGAACTTATCGCAAGGATCTAATGAGTCACTTCGAGTTTTCATCACCAAATTCAAAGGAGTGCTGTCAAAGCTCCCAAGAATCTCGCAGCAATCAGCTTTATCTGCCCTACGAAAAGGATTGCGACATGATTCAAGGTTTAAAGAAGACTTAATACTTCATAAACCAGACACAATTCAGGATGCACTCTTCCGCGCGAACAACTGGATGGAGGTAGAGGACGAAAAAGAAAGTTTTGCCAAAAGAAATAAGCAAGAAAAGCCGGCAATCACCGTCCCTACCAAGAAGTTCGAGCCTAGGGAGAGCAAAGGACCAAGGAAATTTGGGTCGCAACCCTTCAACAGTACCGTCGGAAAGCAATTCCAAGGGAAAGGAAGATCAAACACTAGGGTCCGTGATGAAAGTCTATATTGCGACATTCATAAAGTAACCGGACATTTAACCAAGGATTGCAGCGTTCTTAAAAGGCACCTCGCAGAGCTTTGGGCTAGTGGAGATCTTTCCAAATTCGATATAAAAGATTTTGTGAAGGAATACCACGAAGCAAAGGAAAGTTCCAAAGATCAAAATTCTAAAAGACCAAGGTTAACCAACGAGGAAGAACCAAGGAATTCTAAGGGTAAGATCAATGTTATTCTAGGAGGTTCCAGATTTTGCGGAGATTCGATAAGTTCCATCAAGAAACATAGACGAAATATCCTACTCAAAGCAAGCTTAAGCGAAGAAGTCGATTTTCAAGGTGCATCAATATCATTTAACGAAGAAGAAACACGGTACCTCGAAAGACCTCATGATGATGCTCTAGTCATTACCCTTGACGTTGCCAACTTCGAAGTATCAAGGATCCTTATAGATACAGGCAGTTCGGTCGATTTGATCTTTTTA